TCTACGCATAATACAGTACGTATGTAATGTATAGTGCCTATTCTGCGTTTGCCAATCAAGAACTAGGACTCTCCGGTTATTGCGCCCGCCGCTTATTAGGCCCAATTTGGTCTGGGCCCGAGGTGGGCTTAGTAGCCGGCGACTACTGTACCATCAAGAAAGTGGCTACATTTCGTTGGCCTCTGTTTTCAAAGTTGTTTTTTTCCTCCTTTAAATTAGTACAGCGAATTGGCGTCAGCTTGATGTGTCAGTTTTTATTTCCATTTATTGAGTGCTTATGTTCTCCTGAAAAAAAAAAACGGACGCCAAGAGCCAAATATCGCACGACAACCTGTCGGTGTAGTAGTACCGGTGCGCAAAGTTGTTTACTGATTCGTGGGTTGACCCGGCGTGTTAGCTAAAGTGCGCGATTAGGGGCCTTGAAAGGCTGCCAAAACATATCGAAGGAGTGCAGAGTAGAGATTGGAAGCAGAGTTTTTAGGATATGCACAAGAAATCTAATTGATCGCTGCCAACTGCAGTAGAGTGGGGCATTTTGCGTTTAACGCTTTGAGGGTTTCTCTAACGTGCGCGTTGGTCATAGAGATGGCTTTAGTAAATATAAGCAGGCACCCTAGGCCTGTGGGAGTTGCACGCACCTGTTTTTTACGACTATAAAGCGAAAATCAGCATGTTCGTTGCACGTTGGGACCTTTATGCGCGACAGTATCTAGAAATTGGGGGCATTGGTCACAAATTTGAAAGTCAATCGGACAGGTCTTTTCTTCTAGACTGTGTCCAGGAACGCAATATTTGGTCGCAATTAACGAAAATTTATGCATATGCTACTAGTAGTGCCAAATTGTTCGCAGAATAGGAATTACACAGTTGATTGTCTTCGACGCAAATGTTCCTTAAGGTTTAAGCGCCAGCCTTAAAAAGCCAGGCTCGCAAACTCAACTCGAAGCCCTCCGCTGTATCATCTGTAAAATTAGCAGCTTCGCATATAGCTGTAAATTATACACAAGAGACCGCATAGAACGCACTGGATGACCCACCGAGAAACTAAACCACTCACAGCTACGTTATGCAACGGTAGAAATGCTGGCAAAACAAGCATCTGCACTCTTAGCTAGTACCTTTAGTATCTCTAGAGCTCAAATACCAGAAACCGCAGAAAGGACGCTGAAGGGCCTCTCGTTGGTGCTTCACGTGCGATACTCAATCGTCGTGCTACTTGAATTGGAGGAGGAGGGTGGCGGAGTAACCTCAGTTAGAGGGCCTCCCGTCTGGAGCTGATGTCCGCAATTCTGCGGTTGTCATAGACCTTAGCTGTCGTCCCGGGCTGATACTTCTGCTTGCGTTCACAAGTCCGTCTTGCTTCGCACTTGCGGGATTAGTGGATGGGCTGGCTGAGGTTATAACTCCTCTTTCGCCGGGTCTAGGTTGTGGTGCGGCTACGTATTTGGATTCATGGTAAGTCTATGTTCCCGTTTGCTCTTTTGGTCCCTGAGCTGTGTTCGGAGGGCTTGGCAGTCTATGAGGAACGTCACACAACGGTTGATGGAGGTTGTCTTCGTGTGCCAGGCCTCGATTTTCTCCCTGCCTACACGGTCATTTCCTCGATCCAGAATTGCGGCATATACCTATATATTATAAGTCGTTGAGCGACCGCCTGCGAGGGCTCTTTAGTCAGCTCCAGGCTACAACGGCACATACTTGTTCCTTAACCAGGTCGTTTAGTCCCATACTATCATCACAAGGCAAAAAATAGCTCATAATGCAATGGTAGAGTATTGCAATCAATGATCAAAGAGCGTGGGTTCGAATCCGGAAGGATCTACACCTGGGATTGGGTACGACTGACTGATGACGGCTAATAACCTAGAAATGGCAATTCCAGTCTCCCTTGTCTTTGTCGGTTCCATGGATGCGCGGCTGTAAAAGCGAGGCCGAGAGCGCTCCGAGCGAACACCAGCAACCGATCGCGGCAACATCTGGTGAGGGGGCGGCCGACTAGCCCGCTGACGTAACTCCAACTGCGTTAGTCGCGAAGAGTGCGCGAGCCCGCCATTGGCCAACATTGGAGAGACCACAACCAACCAACGGACAAACGAAGGCATGTGCATTGGGCACGGTAATAATACGAGGCTGGTGGTCTATGGAAGAGTAAGCCCTGCCCTCTGATAATAGAAGAGAGTGTTTCGGAAACGTTAGTACAAATACAATTCGGTCCAATCACTCGCCCCTCTTCGTTTATCCTTTGGAAGATGATGAACGCGATAGGCAAAGGCAAAAATATATGACCGAAAAATACTATGGAGAGTGGAATGGTCAGTTCTAGC